TCAGAGCCCTGGAGCCCCGCGGTCCCCCAGTATCGCTGCCTGGACCCCAGTCTCCCTGGGAGACAAGCGGAGCCTGAGTGGGGAGATTCTTTCTCTCGGGACCACGGCCTCTGCTAGTCACCAAGATAAGAGTATCTTGGTCTCTCTGGCTGAGGCCACAGGGCTGGAGCCTGGAGGGCTCGGGATGGGCTCCCTCTGGCCTTTCCCCGTTTTGGTCAGCCCGAGGCCTCTCCAGCCTCCCTCTGCCCACCAGGGACAAGTCTGGGCCTCGGGGCCGAGGATGACGTGAGGCAGGGATGGGAGATGCTCTGGCTTTTTCCATCCCTCTGGCAGGTGAGTCCCCTCTGGCTGCCCCACCTGTGGCCTCTTCACTCCCATTTCAGCCCAAAGGGCCCCTGGGGACAGGTTCTGAACTGACCATGAGGACACAAAGGGCAGGGCTGGGGCTCCTCACCTGAGACCCTGAGCTCCAGGGGGTCACTGGGGTGTGACAGCAGGTAGGGGGAGGTGCTGTGTGAACCATAGCACCTGTAGGTCCCCCCATGGCCTGAGGTCACAGCACTGATGGTGAAGTTGGCCTGAGAGCGTGCAAACCTGCCCTGCAGACGAAGGTGCTGGGGAGGGTCCAGTGACCCCTCCCTGTGCAGGTGGAAGGTATCGAACCGGGTCTCAGATGCACACTGCAGGGTCACATCAGCTCCCCAGGGCACTGAGGGTCCTGGCTGGGCTGAGAGGGAGGGTTTCGGGTACAGTCCTGGGGGGAGGAAGGTTGTGATGTGTAGAGAGTGACCCCCTCCCTCATGCCCCTGACCCTGAGCTGAGGGACCCTGTCCTGAGGCTGTCTGTGACCCCCTCTCAGGCCTCTCAGCCCCTGGGGGGGTGTCTTTTATCTCCATGCCCCTCCCTCCCCCTTTCTCCCTCCCTCCCCCTAGGCCTCTGCCCATCTGAGCCTCTGCCCCAGGACCCTCTCCTGGACCCCATCACCAAGGGGACCCTGGGCCCAGAGCCCTGGGCACACAGTCAGGACAGGGGCAGGGCTGGGCTCCTCACCTGCGACCAGGATGTCCAGGGGGGCGCTGGGGGCCGACCACACGTGGGAGAGGTTGTGTCCACTGTAGCATCTGTACTGGCCCCCGTGTTCTCGGGTCACAGGGCCCAGAGGGAAGCTGGGGCTGTGCTGCCCATCAAGACGCTGGGGGGCGGTGAGCCTCTGCACCTTGGTCAGAGCAAATCTGTCAAAGCCGCCGTCCGAGCGACACTGGAGGGTCAGGCTGTCTCCAGGCAGCACCAGGGAGCCTGGCTGGGCCAAGAGGGAGGGCTCCCTGTGCACTCCTGGGGAGAAGGGGACGGTGGCACTCAGGGGACACCCCCGCGTGGCCCACTGTGGCTGCAGTGAGAGTTCTCCCCGGTCACTCCCTAAACCTCCCGCCTGTGGTTCTGTCCCCAAGAGCCCAGTGTCACTGACCCCCGTGACCTCAGGGCTCCACTGGGCACACAGCTCAGGTGAGTGATTTTGGGCCCAGGAAACAGATGGGGTTGCCCAGGGGCCTGTCCCTCACCTGTGACCTCGATGTGCAGAGGGTCACTGGGCTCTGACCACACGTAGGGGTAAGACCTGGAGGAACCATAGCACCTGTAGGTCCCCCCGTGGGAGGCGCTCACGGGGCCCACAGCGAAGAGAGCCCACCACCCCCCGGCAGAGACCCTCGGTTCCGATTCCATGTGTCTGGGCGGGTCAGCTCCTCCCTCCTTCAGCAGGTGGAAAGTGCCCGATGTGGACTGTGAGCTGCAGGAGAGGGACACGTTCCCCCCTGNAGGTGAGCCCGAGGAGGGTGGAGGCTGTTGCTCAGAGCTGCACAGTGGCTCCTGAGTGGAGCCGGTAAACAGGGAGCCCGTCCCATCTGCTGGGTGAATGAATGAAGGGGAGGCTGGGACCTGCAGGTGATTCACTTATTCAGGCCTCCTCCTGAGACCTGGGCTGCACAAGGTCAGACAGAGGACGAGGGGCCAGCAGAGGGGACCATGCAGGAGGGGCTGTGAGGTCACAGGAAACCAGGAGGAGTGATGCACAGCAGGACGACCTGGGTGCCCAGGAGAGGTCAGGGTGGACACTGCTGAGAACCAGGTGAGGTGGGGACAGGGAGGATCCATTGGATTAAACTGGGCAACAGAAGGTCCTTGGCCTGGACAGGAGCAGGGGTCTCACCTGAGGGTCCAGCTCGATGCCATTTTCAGGCTCTGGGTCCTTCACAGAGGCATCTGCTGGGGCAGAACAGGGGTGTGTCTCCTTGCAGGGCCCCCGAGATCTCAGGGCTGCAGACCCTGTCTCTTCCCAGGTGGGACACTAACCCAGGAACATCAGTGTGTCCCTGGGCTGGTCAAAGGGGACAGTCTCAGCCCTGGGGGGTCAGGCCCCTCCCCGTGTATTCCCCAGGAAAGAAGGGAACCTCAGCACTTGTGCGCGGTTCGTGTGTCATGAGGGGAGACGATGGGGCGTGACCTGAAGTGTGTGCACGTGAGACGTTTTCTCTCCACACTGGCTGACCTGAGGTTCTGGAGAAATCTTTTCCTCACTGACCTTCTCCATCTGTTAGGTTTTCCTGGGCAGGTGCTCTGAGCCCCTCTCCCCCCTGCGACCCAGGTCCCCTGTTCCCTACTCACCCGACGTCTTGCGTTGGCCCTGACGCCGGTGTCGGAGGGCGAGGAAGAGGAGGAGGGAGAGCAGCAGGATGAGGGCCACCAAGACCACAATTAGGACGGACAGGTTCCATCTGAGACCTTGGGCACAAGTGATGTCATGAATGAACCAACGGTGCCAATTAATGAGCACCTACTGTGTGCGAGGCACGTGCTTGGTCTCATTCATCTCTAACCTCACAGCCCTTGTGCACCAGGGAGTGCTGACCCCACCCCCCATTTCACTGAGGCTCAGAGAGGTTAATCACCTGCCCCAGGTCACCCAGCCCCTCCCCACAGACCCTGACTTACTGCTTTGTGGGCCTGATTCCATGGGGGAGGGGGGCTGGTCCTCAGAGCCTATGGGGATCAGGATGGGAGGTGAGGGGTGGGGGCTGCCTTCTCCTCACTTCAGCCTGACTAATCCTCCCACAGGCTGGACCCCAACATCTCCCTCTCCATGACCACCCCACCTGTCACCTGCCAGCATCAGAGCCCTGGAGCCCCGCGGTCCCCCAGTATCGCTTCCTAGCTCCCAGCCTCCCTGGGAGACAAGCGGAGCCTGAGTGGGGAGATTCTTTCTCTCGGGACCACGGCCTCTGCTAGTCACCAAGATAAGAGTATCTTGGTCTCTCTGGCTGAGGCCACAGGGCTGGAGCCTGGAGGGCTCGGGATGGGCTCCCTCTGGCCTTTCCCCGTTTTGGTCAGCCCGAGGCCTCTCCAGCCTCCCTCTGCCCACCAGGGACAAGTCTGGGCCTCGGGGCCGAGGATGACGTGAGGCGGGGATGGGAGATGCTCTGGCTTTTTCCATCCCTCTGGCAGGTGAGTCCCCTCTGGCTGCCCCTCCTGTGGCCTCTTCACTCCCATTTCAGCCCAAAGGGCCCCTGGGGACAGGTTCTGAACTGACCATGAGGACACAAAGGGCAGGGCTGGGGCTCCTCACCTGAGACCCTGAGCTCCAGGGGGTCACTGGGGTGTGACAGCAGGTAGGGGGAGGTGCTGTGTGAACCATAGCACCTGTAGGTCCCCCCATGGCCTGAGGTCACAGCACTGATGGTGAAGTTGGCCTGAGAGTGGGCAGGTGTGTTTTGCAGACGAAGGTGCTGGGGAGGGTCCAGTGGTCCCTCCTTTTGCAGGTGGAAGGTATCGAACCGGGTCTCAGATGCACACTGCAGGGTCACATCAGCTCCCCAGGGCACTGAGGGTCCCGGCTGGGCTGAGAGGGAGGGTTTCGGGTACAGTCCTGGGGGGAGGAAGGTTGTGATGTGTAGAGAGTGACCCCCTCCCTCATGCCCCTGACCCTGAGCTGAGGGACCCTGTCCTGAGGCTGTCTGTGACCCCCTCTCAGGCCTCTCAGCCCCTGGGGGGGTGTCTTTTATCTCCATGCCCCTCCCTCCCCCTTTCTCCCTCCCTCCCCCTAGGCCTCTGCCCATCTGAGCCTCTGCCCCAGGACCCTCTCCTGGACCCCATCACCAAGGGGACCCTGGGCCCAGAGCCCTGGGCACACAGTCAGGACAGGGGCAGGGCTGGGCTCCTCACCTGCGACCAGGATGTCCAGGGGGGCGCTGGGGGCCGACCACACGTGGGAGAGGTTGTGTCCACTGTAGCATCTGTACTGGCCCCCGTGTTCTCGGGTCACAGGGCCCAGAGGGAAGCTGGGGCTGTGCTGCCCATCAAGACGCTGGGGGGCGGTGAGCCTCTGCAGCTTGGTCAGAGCAAATCTGTCAAAGCCGCCGTCCGAGCGACACTGGAGGGTCAGGCTGTCTCCAGGCAGCACCAGGGAGCCTGGCTGGGCCAAGAGGGAGGGCTCCCTGTGCACACCTGGGGAGAAGGGGACGGTGGCACTCAGGGGACACCCCCGCGTGGCCCACTGTGGCTGCAGTGAGAGTTCTCCCCGGTCACTCCCTAAACCTCCCGCCTGTGGTTCTGTCCCCAAGAGCCCAGTGTCACTGACCCCCGTGACCTCAGGGCTCCACTGGGCACACAGCTCAGGTGAGTGATTTTGGGCCCAGGAAACAGATGGGGTTGCCCAGGGGCCTGTCCCTCACCTGTGACCTCGATGTGCAGAGGGTCACTGGGCTCTGACCACACGTAGGGGTAAGACCTGGAGGAACCATAGCACCTGTAGGTCCCCCCGTGGGAGGCGCTCACGGGGCCCACAGCGAAGAGAGCCCACGACCCCCCGGCAGAGACCCTCGGTTCCGATTCCATGTGTCTGGGCGGGTCAGCTCCTCCCTCCTTCAGCAGGTGGAAAGTGCCCGATGTGGACTGTGAGCTGCAGGAGAGGGACACGTTCCCCCCTGTGGCCACCACAGGGCTCGGGCGGACTGAGAAGGAGGGTGCACGGTACAGTCCTGGGGAGGACAAGGCTCCGTGTTAAAGGGGGGCGGTCACCCCACATGCCCCAGCTGTGCCCTGTGAGGGGTGAGGTCCCCCTGAGGCCACCCTCCCTTCCCTGTGCCTGTGGGAGCCGAGTGGGGAGGGGCCCGGGCTCTCCCTTACCTGTCACCACCAGGGTCAGGGGGTCACTCCTCTCCGACCACATGGCCCCTGTGCTGTAATAGGCACACTGGTAAATCCCTGCATGGTATGAGTGCGTGCGTTCAATGAGGAAGCCGGTCTTGTTTCTGGGGTCCTGTGGGGTGCTGATCAGCCAGGGCTCAGCGCCCCTCTCTTTATACAGAGCGTAGACAGCAGGCTGCGGAGACCCCTGGCACCAGATGGTCACAGGGCTCCCCCTGGTGACGATGGGGCCTGGGTCGGCCTGGATGGAGGGTTTGGGGAGGTCTTCTGAAAAGGAATCAGACCTGAAATGTCAGGAGCCCCTCTTTCCCTCAAAACATCANGGGGGTGCCCGTCTACCTTCTGTTTCCCCAGCTGTCACTCCAAGGCCCCTTCCAGATTGGTCGCCATTATTCCAAACCCTGTGTTTCCCCAGCTGCCAGGGAGTCATCGTGCTGAAGCAGGAGGTTTGGGGAGGACTCACCTGCCTGTACCGGGTCCCACGGGCCCTGACACAGCCCTGGAAGAGAGTCCCTGTGAGAACCATCCCCAACCGCACAGAAGCTCCCGGCCTGGTCGGGCCCTGAGCACCGGGGCGGGCCCGGGGTGGGCGCATCTCTCTTCCCCCTGAAGTCCTTTCCCCACTGAACCTCCTGATTCCTCAGGCCTCACAGGGACCAGGACCTGCGACGGGAGGGGGGGGGCCCTCATTCCCTTTTCCACAAAACTCACAAAAATAGAGAAGAGCCATGAGGGTGGTGGCCTTGACACTGTCTCCCATGGTCCCCAGGG